GAATTGTGTGTATGCGTATGTTGTTAGTTTGTTAGAAAATGTCTGTGTTTTGCTGAGAAAAAGAAGGAAAGAAAGAGAGAGAGAGAGAAGAAAAAAGAGAACATGGAATGACCAAAGTCGCTCATTCAATTCGCTTCACTTCCGCTCGTAAATAATCTCACGCTTTTATCGAGATGCTCTCGTATGCTTTTTGCCAGTCTCAATTGAACTTTAGACTTTTTTTCTATTTAACCCTGCTAGTGCTATGCCCAAGTAAAGGGCAAATTAAAATATAGACCAACCGTCCAATTTATTACCATGAACTAAGAAAGTAAGCAAAAAAAGAGGGCAACCCTCATATACTTAAAATATAAATACAAAGTGAANTTTGCACTGTCTGTGCAACATCAACCATGACAATTGCTGGTAGAATTACAAAACCTAGTTGACAAAAGCTGAGTGACCTTAAACACAGCTTTCCAAACTGAAAAACACAACACAAAGAACATTTTTCCTCCATTTTTAACATTGTACATTTCAATAAGTCAGAAAAAAGCTTATTTTTGAGTGCATAAAACCGTTTTTGTCTGTGTACATGGAATGTACTTGTTCTGAACTATTTGTGTGTGCGTGTGTGTGTTTATCACTGTTGTCATCGACTACTACTTTATTTTCAATTCTTAAATGTCAAGAGGAAAAGTTGCAATAATTTATTGACCTGTATACTTTCATTTTAAATCGTTTGTTTTCTTCTTTTTCTCATATGACCATTCACTGCGGACGTCAGTTGTAACTGTTGCAAACGGTTGTTGCTAAAATTGGAGCCACGGCTGCTGCTGCTGCAAACTCACAAGCCTTTTCAATCGTTTGGGTAGACACACATTAGCAGCACCAGCAGCAGTAGTACTCTTGTGCTGTAATCATCGTAATTAAATCGACCAGCAATTAGTAAGTGTTGATAGTTTGTTTGCGTTGACAACAGAAAAAAAAGAAAAGAAATTAAAGTCTTTGAGAAAAATCTCGAAAGAAAAAACTGGAGAGAGCGATGAACTTTCACTAGATTTAAATGACTCTTTATTTGAGAAAGAATGAGAAAGAGCAAATGAATGCATGAGTAAAAAAGATGAATGAAAAAATGAAGGGGACAAACCTAAACTGTGCTTGCACTCGATTAATTAGTGAAACCAGAAAGCAATTAAGTAATTGATAATTTGTCCAGCTATCGTAGCCTCCTGTTAGATCAATTAGAGACCACAGACACACACAAAAGCAAATGCCTTAATGTGCCAGAGCTTAAATTAGAAACAGTTTATTTAAATTAGATGATCAAGAGTGACAAGATAAAAATAGAGTACACACACAATCTATTATTAAATCTCAATCATTTTACTTTCTCTTTTTAAAATTTTTACTTTTAAAAAAGGCAGTATATAAAGGATTAACGGTCTCCAGTAGAACCACACTCACCACAGCTCAACACTGCCAACAACTAAGCTCCTTAGCCACCAACCAACAAACCTCAACTACTTCTTTTTCAGCCATGCACACTCAACTTTTTGCCAGCATCGTCCTTCTGCTCTGTCTGGTGGCCATGCTCCTCGGCAGTGTCGCCTACGCGGCCAAAGACAAGGGCGGCGACAAGATCATCATCAGCGCCGGCGGAGGGGGCGGCGGTGGCGGCACCGATTATCAGTTCAGTGAGTCTAGAGCAGTAGTGAAATTATATTTAAACAAAATCTAATAAAAATAAAACTAACTTTATGATTTTTATTTAATATTGCAGTGCCCTTCCCCATCCCCATGTACTGGGGCCGTCGATGAAAGGCAAGGGCAAAGAAATTGGCGGCAGTTCAAAAACCCAGGAAATCGGCAAAAAGGTGAAGAATCCGCTCAAGAATCTCCTCGATAACCTCAGCCTGACAAGGCAAAACTGGCGCCGACAGGTGCCCCGTTTCTACGTCGCCTACAAACTGTACCAGAACTTGCTCGTCTGAACTTTTCTTCCCTTCTATCACCAAACTTTTTTTCCCAACAAAAGAGTTATTTTTTTCTCATCCACCATTCACCAAGTATTACTTTTTGTTCACTCTTTTTTTACTTAATAAATAAAACATCTACTTTTTTTCAACCAACCAAAAAACGAAACAATCAGCAGAGCGTTTAGTTAATCATTAGCGCCAAGACAAAAAAAGACGGGGGCTCAATTTTTGTTGTGTTTACTTTCACTTTTCCGATTTTCAGGCTGTTGTTTTGCGTTCTTTTCTTTTCTCTTTTTCTCTTTTTCACTTGTTTCACTTTCATCACTTACAAACGATTAATCGATAGCACAGTGAATAATTTTCATTCTTCCTATTCTTCTACTGGCATTCTGCGCTAACAAGACGATAGAGTAATGATTTGTTCAGCTCGCCACTCGCCAGTTGGAAGACAAATTGCTCCATTGACGGGCAATTATATTTAAATAGTGTTTAGGCCAGTTAAGAAAACGGCAATAGAAAGTAAGAGAATGAGTGAACAAATTGATTGATATATAAAAGCGCGAGTGGTATAACAAAGTGTGTGTGTATTAAAAGGCGCAAGTTATTCTTCACATTTTTTTGACTAAATTAGCCATCAACAGCAGCAATGTCCACTAGGCACTTTCAATGCTCGACACAGTTCCAAGAAGTGTTGAAGTGTCCATTTAAGTAGTCTGTCCATTTGTCAACTTTTTTTTGCTGTTTTTGCCTGAGCTGAGCTAGTTTTAGTTTTAGTAAAAACAGAGATTGAGAGTTTGTTTTGCACTTTGCCACTCTCTTTCAACGTCTCTCTTATCTCATTTTTATTTTTTATTTTTACTTTCTACTTTTCAAATCTTTTTGCAAAGCTTTTTTCTATTTGCTAAAAGTAGTAGTTGTTGTTGTTGTTCTATGTTTGCACTTGGATAAACATTTACTCAAAAAGATTGTACTGCAAGAAGATCTAATTTGCAGACTAGATTTGAAGTTGAACCTTTTTTCTTTTTTAAAAAGCTTTGTACAAAGATTTAGCAGTAGTTGTTGAAAATAAAATGTTTGAGATTGGTGACTTAAAAACCAAAAACGAGAAAACTTTCACAATTTTTAGTTTTGTAAAAGAAGCACGCTTTTGCAATTTTCAATTTTGTATGTTGAGTTTGCGGTATTTGCATTTTCTGATCCGTTTTATATCAGCTTTCAAAAAATAAAACATTTTTGTTTTTCAATTACTAAAAAAAATATTTTTATCGTATATTGAAACAGCTAAAAACAATGATAGAAAAAGATAATTTAATTTGCAGAAAAAAGAGAAGAAATTGATTGAGACTGGGCGGATTGAATAAATTACATTATTTTCACATTAAAATTAAAAAAAGCACATTGAACTCCATAATGAGAAAAATCAAACACACCAACAACTACTTTTAATAAAACAAACAACAACAAAAAATTTTAAAAACAGATAACGACTTGAACTAATACAAAAAGTTTTTATTTCATTTGTGCACTTTAAGCTGTGAAGAAGACAACAAAAAAAATAGCCAACCAGCTACGTGACAGTGTTAAACTTTACCCCGACACACTGGTGCTAAACCAAAAAGTTTTTGCTAATCTTAATTTGTCAACGGCATTGGTTGCGGTTAAGTGTAACCACAAGTGTTGGGCAATAGAGAGAAAGAAAGAGCAAAGAGAGCAAAAGTGGTTCAGCGTCAAGTTTCGTTGCACAGGCTTTGTCCTCACGTTTTCTCTTCTTTTTCTCTGTACAGCTGTACCCATCATATACACACTGACTGTCTGACTGTCTGCTGGGAAAGACTGCACACCAGCTGATGATGGCTGATGGTCGATAATAATAAGCGGCACTGATTGTCAGCAGAAGCAGTGGTAGCAGTAGTAGTGGCACAAACGTGAGCAAAAGAGAAGAGCGTGAGGAGAACGATTAACGATATGGCAAAGTAAGAGAGGACATCCCATCAACCACAGCAACAGCCACAATGTTGTGATTACTGGCTAGACGGTGTCCACCAGTGCTCAATCAAGCAAAAGAGAAAAAGAGGAGAAAACTCAGGCTACAACTGAGGTTAGTAAAAAGCAACAGCTTTCTCTTTTTTTGAAAATTGATCAAGCCTTTATTCTTCGTGCTCAAGTTTAATTACAACAACAACAAAAGTCATGCTTCCTCTGCTTCAGCAATCAGGCCGGGCACTGGTCAAATCGACTCAGCAGCTAGGACAGCAGTGTGCCAAAAGTTTTGTACAGCCAGCAGCAGCGACAAGCCATCGATTTGCCTCCACTGAAGCTGCTCAGCCGGCAAAAAACAGCGAAAACAGCAGCAAATACCGCTTTACCCTCGACAGCGTCGATGGAGTGCTCACCACCGAGCAGCGGGACTTCTACGAGGAGAACGGCTACATCATCGTCAAGAACATGGTCACCTCGGCGGAGCTCGGTCGGTGGCACGACCGTTTCACCGAGTACGCCACCGGAAAGCGGAAACCCGAGTCGCCGGAGCTGCTGCTGCAGAAGGAGCTAGCGGTAGCCAAGGACAGCCTCAATGTGAACACGCTGTACAAGATTGGCGAGCTGTACGCCGATGAGGTCCTCTTTGAGTACTGCCGCCACCCAAAGGTGCTGGATCACGTGCAGCAGTTCACCGGGCCCAATGTGATGGCCATTCACACGATGCTGATCAACAAACCGCCGGACACGGGCTCCAAGTCCAGTCGTCACCCCCTTCACCAGGACCTGCACTACTTTCCAAACCGGCCGGCGGACCGCATCGTCTGCGCCTGGACCGCCATGGAGAGGATTACCCGGGAGAATGGTACAATAAAATGGTACTTAAAACTTTGATTAACTTATCAAGATTATTTTTGTAGGCTGCCTAGTGGCCGTTCCTGGAACGCACAAGGGCGAGCACCTGGAGCACGACTACCCCGATTGGGAAGGAGGCGTAAACAAACTTTATTACGGAATACAGGATCCAAAGCTTCAGGAGTCGAGGGTGCACCTGCTAATGGACGAGGGTGACACAGTGCTCTTTCATCCGTAAGCTATCCTCTGCCCTTGTGTGAAAAAATTAGCTCATTTTCTCTCATTTAATTTAAGGCTCCTTGTGCACGGCTCTGGCGTGAACCGCACTTCCGGCTACCGAAAGGCCATCAGCTGCCACTACTCCACCGGAGAGGCGGAGTTTATTGACGTCAAGGGGACAATTCAGGAGAAACTCGCTGATGAGACGTTGGCCGTTTTTCAGAAACGTTTTCCTGCTTTCAAGTTGGACTACATCACCTTCTGGAAGTT